GCATGTTTTTGGTCTGTGGGAGGAAACTGGAGTACAGAAGTATTTCACTACTTTGCGGTTCGACTTTTGCAGACTCGCTCTTTTGCAGTTTTTCAACGTAAGATTATACACAACACACGATTGTCAACTTTAATATTACTGATTGGGACAGTACAGGAAAAAAAGTTGACAAAAAAAATACTTTGGACAGGTGCCACCATTTTGTAGTTTTCTCTCAATAAGCCTACACTTTAAAGCAAGTCAAAAGAACTACACAGCCCAGAAGCCAACAGTGTTTCCGGCCGCTGCTTTCTGCTGAAAAGGCAGTAATGGAGGGAAAAGCCCCCAGTATACTGCCGCGTACATCCATACGCAGAGGTACGCACGTACGTACGCAGAGGTACGAGCGCACCCCACAGGGCATGTCCGTGCAAAGCTCAAATTTTTACGACCGCATACGCGGTGTCGCACAATAAACTGCCCAGCGACGGACTGTTTTGTATGCGACACCAATGTGTTAAATTCCCATTCTTCATCCCTGATCTGGCCTTTTCTTTTGTTTGTTTGCCAAGAGGCAGTGATCTCTTCCTCCTCCATTGATGCCATGACTGAAATGGTGACAAATGAAGGAATTTGTCACGAGCGAATTAAACTCAGGTCCAGCGTGGCTGCGGGAGGGTCTGGAGATTTCCTGGTGGGCTGGTCTGATGTGTGGGTTGTAGAGTCAACGCTCCGTTTTTTATTTATTTATTTATTTTTTTTAGATCTTTTTATTAACAACATATAAACACAGAACACCGCAGCGGCTGAGGCTGAGGCTGCCAGCGCTCTACGTTTTTTCTTTTTTTCTGACCTGTCAATCAATCCAGTAGGTGTGTCAGCAAATGACCAATCGGCGACCTCAATTTGTCCTGAAGGTAAACGCCCCTTGTCTGTGAAGCTGCTCTGCAGCTGCTCGGGGTGTACGCTGGAGTATGAAGTCTGAACCCTCTGCGTACATACACGCATACGTACGCGTGAACGGATGTACGCGGCAGTATACTGGGGGCTAAAGTTTTACACACGCAGTCAGAAGTAACTATCTATTAAGCTCACAGAACTGGCAGGAAAGTTGCAAATAATCCTGAAGCTTCATGAAGCTCAATTATCCACGCACACATCAATCTGGACGGGGCGGTGGGCTTCATCGCTGCAGGGTAGGTCTGCAGAACCAGAACCAAGCTGCTGTTCTGCAGAGCTGGTGAGTAAAATTTTGCAGTACTGTACAGTACATATAAGTATATTGTTAAAATTATATAGGTTTAAGAGTTTAGAACTAGGGATGCACGGATCCACATTTTTTACTTCCGATCCAATCCCGATACCTAAATCTAAATATCGGCTGTTGTACTGATAAATATCTCCTAGAAGGTAAACTATATTTTGGCTGCAAGTATCAAGATGTGAAATCCTTCATTTTTTACAACTGATAGTGGTTGGTCATTAATTATGATGAAGTTTAGCAACATCTCGGTAAACATTCGAGCTCCGGGGCTTCAGCGATGTGTTTTTCTTGTTCGATCCGTAGCAAGTAGTCTGAACTCGGTCAGCCACGCTCAGTCTGTCCTTCCTCTGGCACGGACAGACTGAGCGTGGCTGACCGAAATCAGACTGCCTTCTCCGGACTGAACGAAAATAACAGGCCGCTGAAGCCCCGGAGCTCGAATGTCCATCGTAAAACTACCTTTACCGCGGTTTAATGTGGTGCTATGGCTCTGCAGACATTGCACGTTGCTGTCTTGCTTTGTGGTGTTTCTAGTGTAAAATACTTCCACACAGCGGGCATGTTTAGATGAAAAGTTGGTTAGCTGTTAGCCACAGTGCTGCTAACTCAGCCCTCACGTTGTAGCTGCCTGCAAACTATGAAATGGATTTCCTGAATGTGAGGCGGGTCTTATTACTCTGGGCTCATGAGACACGCCTCTGATCAGGGAATCCATTCCATATTTTGAAGCCAACGTGCAGTGCAACCACAGACATGCATCATGGATCGGAAATATCGGCAGGTTGGATTGGAAAATCCGATACGTAAATTATGCTGGTATCGGAGTCCGATACGGATACTGGATCGGATCGGCCCCATCACTATTCAGAACATTGCAAGAGTATGGGAAGGGTTTATAAAGCCTGAATATACTGTATATATAAATACTAAAATAAATATGGCATTCCTAATTAGCGGTTTTCCACCTATCGCGATGGTGTTTGGAACGTAACCCCCACGATAATCGAGGGACTACTGTACCCGGAGAAAATCCACATATGCACGGACAGAACATGCAAACTCAACCCAGAATGGCCCCCTGGCCGGGATTCGATTCAGTGACCATCTTGCTGAGAGGCAGCAGCTCTACCAACTGCACCACCGTGCCACCCTGTACCAGATGCAGCTATTTTTAATCTGTTGTTGTTGTCTGGGATTGGCAGTATCTGTGAAGAATGACATTCTGTGGACAGACTTGTCACTAAAAACACTTCATTCTGCTTCAATGAAAAAACTAAGATTTAACCTCAGCTTTAAAGGGTCTGTGTGCAACCCACAAACCCCACTGGCTGCACTGGAGCAGCAGACCCTTAACAAGCCGCGGTCATGTGATCTGCGTCAGGTGGGAACATAACTGCACCGCCACATGAAAGGTGGAGGGCGAAATGCATTCCTTCAAGGAAGGCTAGGTTATTAATTCAGCACAGGATAAGGTCATGAAAGATTTTGCCTCTAAAAGTATAAACAAACATGAACTGTTTTGGTGTGATTACGTACATGGAGATGTAGCTGAAACATTCTGTAAAGTTCATCTTAAACGTTTAACCCAAAGATTTGATTCTTGTCCCCAAAGCAAAACTGTTTCTGCAATCTGAGTGAAACAGCAACACAATCCCACGCAGTCATAAACTACAGAGATGGCAGCATGAACCATTCCCCACACTGTACCTCCTGTATGAAATGCTCTCATACTGCCTATTAATACTCTAAAAAACTAAAGCTCTGGCCATGTAACGTCGGCTGAACATGTTTTTAGTCGCCCCCCTGCTGTGAGCATTACTGAAAAACCACATCCTCTGTGACAAGGCCGGCATTATACAGTCTTCAACCTATCAGCTGCAGAAAGACACACACATACACACACAGCTAACAACACACCCCTCCTCTGCACAGCAGTGCTGGGATCAGCAAACTCTGAAGAGCAGCGATAGCTATTCCCTAAAACATGTTGGGTGTTGCTGAACTGGTGACGCGTATGAGATTAGGGTGAGTTTTACAGCGCAGGAGTCATCTACAGTAAATGACTGCTGACAGCTGTAAAAACTAGTTATGCTATCAGCAGCATTCACCTTCAGCCTGAAGGTTCTCCTTTAAATGCTCCTCTCATCAAATATTACCTGCTGCCATCATGTAAACTGGGTGCATGTGTTAGTTTGACTCTCATGTTAGCAAAATGTCTTCTGAACTAGAGAGCAAATATGAATAAAACTCTCAGAAAGTAATCGCTGGTTGTTCTTTTACAACTGAACTAAACTAAAACTGAGGTTTTGGTTTTTGGACCTGAGCATCTTAGGAACAAATTTTTCAGTCTTTCTCCCTCCTTGGATAGCATTAATCTGTCCTCCAGCTCTAATGTTAAAAATCTGGGTGTTATTTTTGATCAGGACATGTCTTTTATCCCCCACATTAAAAACGTTACTAGAACTTCCTTCTTCCACCTGAGTAGTATCACTAAGATTAGAAACATCTAAAAATGATGCAGAAAAACTGGTTCATGCATTTGTCACGTCTAGACTGGACTATTGCAATGGTTTATTATCTGGGTGTCCAAATACGTCTTTAAAAAGTCTTCAGTTGATCCAAAATGCTGCTGCCAGAATCTTAACTGGAGTTAGTAGGAGAGACCATATTTCTCCAGTTTTAGCTTCTCTCCATTGGCTCCCTGTCAAACCCAGAATAGAATTCAAAATCTTACTTCTAACCTACAAAGCTCTCAACAACCTAGCTCCATCTTATATTACAGATCTTATTGTTCCATATTTTCCTAACAGAGCACTTCGCTCTCAGGCTGCAGGTTTACTTGTGGTTCCTAGAGTTTACAAAAACAGAATGGGAGGAAGATCCTTCAGTTATCAGGCTCCTCTCTTGTGGAACCAACTTCCAATCTCTGTCCGTGAGGCTGACACATCGTCCAGTTTTAAAACTGGGCTTAAGACTTTCCTTTTTGATAAATCCTATAGTTAGTATAGTTAGCAGCTTATTATGCTGCCATAGGCTTAGACTACTGGAGGAAAATAATTGACCTAATTTCTTAAATGAATTATAACTTAACATGTGATTCTTGACCTGCCATGGTTTATCTATTCCTATGAAACCCAGCTGGTCGAATCAGATGGACGCTTGTCCTGAGTCTGGTTCTGCGAAAGGTTTCTTCCTCATGAGGGAGTTTTTCCTTTCCACTGTCGCCTTTAAGCTTGTTCAAGAAAATAATCTGCAATGAAGTTAGATTCAAAGCAGTCTGCACCTCAGATAAATAATGTTATTAACTTATAATATATATATGAATGTTTCTGTTCAGTGCCCTGAGATGACTTCTGTTGTGACTTGGTGCTATATAAATAAACTGAATTGAACTGAACTTGTTGAGTTGACCTAATTCAAGATGGCCACCGCAGATACATTACATTAGAAAACACAAAAACGGCTACAACTCAGTCAGTTTTGCAGATATCAAGCTACAGCCTGTCTCAGTTGAAGCTTAAACTCATCTTTAAAGAACAATCTTGGCGCTAACCAATCAAGCAAGAAGGTGGCAGGTGATACTTCAAGGAATGCTAGGCTATTTTTTCCCCAGCAGATCTTCTTCCTTTGTCGTCATTGCATGCTTTCAGAAATCTTCAGCTAAACACAGCCTGATTTGAGGTAAAGGTGTTGTTTACAATCAATAGCTAGTTTGAAATCTTAGCTCAGCTAAGGGAAGAGTCCTGCCTAAAGACTGTCATCGAGCAATCACCTGAAGCTCCTGTTACAGAGCTCAGGCGAGCATTCATCACGTTACGTATGGGAAGATCTGCTTTTAGATAAGAGTCAGTGGCTTGTGACCAACAAACTGAGGCTATAATAGAGTCTAATGTTTCATGCACAAGTATTCTTTGAACAGCTCACCCAAGCTGAGATAATAATACACACAGGGCACTTTTTCCATGACATGAAACACAGTCTGACTGAAATGAAGCTTTTGAACTTATACAATGTGCTCAGTGAAAACTTCTGAATAGCACACGCCAAGATGTGAAAATTAAAAAGTGAAGCCAGACACAAAATTAGGGTTTTGGAGGTTTATGAGAATGGAAGGCTGTAAGGTACTTACTTTGTGCGCCTCTGAGTTTGAGTCTATCAGATACACAGTCTGTGTGTCTGTGAGAGAAGGTATCTCCCCACTGCTGCCCTCATCTAAGTCACTGTCCTCATCCTGTGTTGAGTCCCGCTTATTGTCCAGCGTAACACAGCAGGACACGCTCTCCGTTTCAGTGACGCTGTCATAATGGTCCTCCTCATCGATAGCGTCTTCGTTGGGGAACACCTCCCCTTCGGCGGTGCACGACGGGCTGTCGATGCCGCTATCCCGATTGGGAATCTTCCCGTTCTGCTGCAAGGAGTCGGGATTGTCCGTGAGTTTATGGGAAGAGTCCTCCTCTTGGGTTCCGTTGTCCAGGCGGCCGACCCCTTGCGTGATATCGTCCTTCCTGCTGTTGTCCAGCTCCACGTCACCTGAGCCGTCAATGTGCATGGAGGCCAGACGGGAGAGTTCAGACACGCCGCCGATCCGTTCAGAGGAGCCGAATGTAAGTTTGTCCACAGGAGAGGAGTCTCCTGCAACCTTTGCTGGGGAGTCTGGACCGGAGGAGGGAGGGAGGTCTGACGCAGTGTCCATTCTCAGGAACAGATGCAGCTGTGACCGTGGGAGCACCCCCAGGATGGGGACCCTGAGAAAACACGAATCATTATTAAAATCTGAATGACATGGACTCTGTAGTGGAAACTGAAAAGAAGAAATTAGTTCTATTGTAGGAACCAGCCTGTTCACGTAAGCGTAAAACAGATGTGACTACAACTACTTTTACAGAAGAAATGATGAATATGACAAATTGCTCCACTAAACCCTCTTACCTCGAGTTCTCAAACTTTTCTATGAGCAGTCCAACTTTCTGAGCCTCTTTCTGCAGCTGCACCTCCAGGACAGGAGGGCTCAGACAAGGTTTGGGTTTAGGTGGAGGAGGGGGTGCCGGCAGGGGTCTCGAGGGCGCCGGAGGGATCCTCTTAGGCTTCTTGTCTTGCCCGAGGGCCAGAAGATGAGCAGGTTTAGGGGGCACTAAATGTGCACAAGTCCAGAGAAGAAGAGAAGAACAGATCAAAAGAGGCGTAAGAGGATTAATAAAAACAATCAGGTAACACGAGGAAATCCAAGAGAGGGACTCTCCATATCTGCATCCAGGCAGGTATCCTTGCAAACCTCAAGATACAAAGAAACTTTTAAAAAGAAAAAGAACCTTTTATCAGCAGAGCAGCATCGACTGAGCGTCAGCTAACAGCCTACTTCCTTATTGCAGAACAGGATGCTGAGGCCAGTGTGTGCGTAGGCCACCGCACTTCCAGGCAGAAAAAAAACAACTCAACAAATAAAAATAAAAGCCCTGAAAAAACAAATTAGTCTTTCAAGCAAACGCTGCCCTCATGCACGCCTGCACACTACAGACTCACTGTCACTGTCAGGGTCTGTACTTTTGCGATCCTTCAGTTTTAGGAAATTGATTTGTTTGACAGCAGGAAATGAAGTTTACTGTCACAGTTGTTGAAGCGAGCACTTCCTCTGTGTCTGAATGTGTCACAGTCTGATAAAACCTTTCTTCACACATGGAATTATACAGCTCTGAAATGTGCAAGTGACAGGTCTGCTCACTGCTTTGGAGAATGAAAATGAACGTCCTTTAATGTAGCGACACAAACACTGCTGTTTGCAAACTTTGCAGCGTTTTTCTTTTCTTTAGCAAATGTATTTTTAGAACTGTAATTATCAAGATTTACTTTAGGCTGCACAGAAGTCTGTTGGAGTCAGTCTCTCCACCATCACAGACATCTACACCTCCAGATGCAGGAAGAGGGCCACCTGCATCATGAAGGACCCCACTCACCCAGCACACACACTTTTTGCCCCGCTCCTCTCAGGAAAGAGGTTGAGGAGCATTAAGTGTAGAACCACTAGACTGAGGAACAGCTTCTACCCTGAGGCTGTTAAGACTCATGAATCTCTAACCAGGATCATCAATGTGAGAAATTACATCACGTTGCTGCTGATCTGTTTCAATGTTGCTGCTGATCTGTTTCATGTTGCTGCTGATCTGTTTCATGTTGCTGCTGATCTGTTTCATGTTGTCGTGTTCATTCGTGCTCATCTGCTCACACAGACTCATGTTCGTGCTGCTGTTCAGTGTATTGTTTTTATGCTATTAGTGCTTAATGTGTGTTTTTAGCTAATATTTTTCTTAGATCATATCTTAGATCTTATTACTGTTGTTCTTTTACATTTTATACTTTTGTTGGATGTAACTGGGACCCTGTGTACATCATCTCGTTCCACCACATGTACCACATGTGGTGTGTATGACAAATAAAGAACCTTGAATCCTTGAATCAGATAAAAATAGAGAACACAATGTTCTCACATATTGTCATATCTGTGTGTTTTGTGATTGTTTTTATCTTCCGGTAGTTCTCCGAGCCTGTTTCTCTCCTCGTGTAGTCAGCTCCTGCCACTCTCACCTGCTCCTCATCGTCTCTCCCCAGGAGTTCATCATCGTGTCTCGTTGGTGTCCCTTTAAGTTCAACGTCTCTGCAACTTCATGTTGTCTGTAGATTGTGCTGCACAGCCGTCATGTTCAGCTGTTCCTCCCAATGGTTTTTGTAAGTTTACGCTGCCATATCAGCTTTTTAAAATTTTGTTTCCTGAGCTTTAATAAATAATTATTGTTTGAATGTTTATAAAGCATTCACACAATTGAGATCCATTTTTCCTCTGTACGTTTTTCAGCATCTTTCTCGTGCCACAGTTTTCAAGCTATTTCAATAAATCAAAATGTTCAGCTTGTTCAGAACAATCCTGCTATGACTTTTGTACAGGTGTAGTTTTAGCTTTTTGAAATATTTAGCGTTTTTTGTCTTCTTTTTTCTCATAGAAAATGAATTGAGCTCATTTTACATCCTTCATATCTTTAGATGTGTTTACATTTTACTGCTCCGTTCACGTTTTGTTCTGCTTCAGCTTCTTTCAGCTTCCTTGTGCAAATGTAAACTTTTTTCAGCTACTTTCAACTAATTTCAGCTGTTTTGTGCTGCTTTCAGATTATTTCTGCTAACTACAACATTTTTGTGCTTCTTCTAATTTATTTTTGCTCATTTTAGCTTGTTATGCTCTTTTCAGCTCATTTCTGCAAGTTTCAGCCTTTTATGATGTTTCAACTACTATTTACCTGTATTCATGCTAATTTTAGCTTTTTCAGCTAATTCCACATTTTTTGCACTCATTTCAACTTTTTTTCAACCTAATTCAGCAAAAATGTACTCTCTCCACTTTCTTCTGGTAATTTAAGCATCTTTCTGTTTTTTAGCTACTTTTCAGCTGTTTTTTTTTGCTAATTTCAGCTTATTTTAGATAATTTATATTTTTGTGCTAATTTTTGCTTCTTTCAGCAAATGTGTTCTTTCTGCTTTCTTCTAATTTAAGCTTGTTCTACTTTTTTTAAGCATTTTTAGCTATTTTCACGTTTTCAGATAAATTCAAGTTTGTCATGGTAATTTCTGATACTTTCAGCTCGTTACGCTCCTTTCAGATTAATTATGTTAGTTTAAGCTATTTCAGCTACTATTTAGATGTTTTCGTGCTAATTTTATCTTTTTCAGCTAATTCCACTTTATTCTAGCTCATTTCAGCTCTTTCTGTTTCCATTTGGTAGCTTAAGCTTCTTTCTGCCTTTCAGCTACTTTTCAGCCATTCTTTTATTTTTTATTTTTTGCTAATTTCAGCTTTTTTTTTAGCTACTTCCCTAATTTTTCTGGTAATTTATGAACATTTAAACCAATTTCAGCAAATGCGTTCTTTCTGCTATTTTAGGCTTGCTCGTTCATTTCAGCTATGAGCATGAACTTTGTTACATTTCAGCATGTTTTTAGCTAATTTTACTTGTTTTTCATCAAGTTCTTCTGCAATAAGAATTTGCACTGCATTTTCACAGGGAATGCAATTTTTCTAGTTTACTTTATCCTCACGTTTCCTCGAGTTCTGTCTGTATTTGTGTTCAACACAATGCTGATCTGGACACATATTTACATTTAGTTTTGTTTACTACTTGTTAGTGTAAAATAAAATAAAAACACGAGCACTGCATACGGCAAATTATATGCCCATCGGCAAACTACCATATTATACATCAACCTGTAGCAATGACTTGGAAAAGCAAAGACCTTGTATAACATTTGACCTTGATTTGTGACCTTGACGTAGGAGCTGGGTTGGTGAAAAGTGCATGCGACACTCCATCTAGTGATGATACATGTGTGTGGAGATTTGTTAAATTATCCCGAAGTTATAAAGTGGGACAAGAGACGTATGGACAGATGAAGAATGTACCAGAATATGTCCGCTTTTTGACAAGCGTATAATAAATGGCTTTATTTTAGGGGAATTAAATTTACATCAGAAAAGATGTAGAGATTAAAAGCAATTTTAAAATCATCTTTAATTTGCAGCATAATTAGCTTTTACTTTATGCAATATTTATTAATGTCAGTAGTAGTAATTAATGCCGTGTAAAAAAGCATAAAGAAACCAGAATAATAAGACCTATACAAACATTAATTAGAAAATGCTGCTGATTGGAGGCTCCCAGGTAAAATCTGACAGCTTTAGAAAAACATCTTTAATGCTGGTGAAAAAAATGTTAAAAATGAACTGAAATCTTCTGTTTACTAACAGTGAGTCTCTGAGAATGTTATTTTGGGTTCTGGGAATAATCTTGATTTTATTTTTATTTTTTACATTAAAGGTGCTCATTACAAAGTCATAATGATTCATAAAGATAAAGCCAAAACTCACACAATTTCATTCTTTTTGAAGTGTCCTTCAATTACAAATTTGTAAGCAAAACTTACACGCGCCTGCCAACTACCACGTGTGTTTGTTTACCTACAGAAACAGCTGAAGTGGCCTAGAATAGGTTGACAATAGGGATGTCTATGGAAGAGATGTTTGAGAACAAGAAGTCAGTCAGTGTTGATGTATTGGATCCTATTTCCACTCAGATTTGTCAGGTAAAGTTTGAGACACAGCAGGTTAGGTTGAAATGAACAAGTCTAGATGTCCTGATGCATGCTCTTTAATCCAGGTAGATAAATCTAACAAGGCTGAGTCAGTCTGTGTGGGTGGGTTTGAGGTAAACATCAGTTTCCAAATGTCCTCCATCAGATGGAGAATATTTGGAAACTGATGTTTCTTAATATTTATTTTTGGCATTGTCTTTCTTTTTCTTTCACATTTTGCAGCAGATTAACTTTTATATTTCCACTTAAGTATCTGCTCTGAGATTCAACACAGACTAATGAGGTCGATCACACAACTCAGACTTACAGGTGGTGTTTGGCAAATTCAGCTGAGTGCTTTGTTTACATTGAATGTGGACCTGCATTTCAGAACTGCATTTTAATACAGTAGTCCCTCTCCACTTCGCGGTTCATTTATCACGGACTCACTCTATCGCAGTTTTTCAAAGTAAGATTGGACATGACACACAATTGGCTGATTGATGGATGAGCCACATGATCGGCATGTAAGTCTTATTTAAAATAAATTATTTTAAATTATTTAGCGCCTGCTACACCTGTGTGCAGCCCACAACTGTAGAAAAACCCTCTTCCTGTAATTGTGTGCAGTCAACAGCTGAAGGAGAAGCACCCTCCTGCAGCATGTCATATCTCCGCTCTGCAGCGGAGAAGTGGGCGTGGCCAAGAGCACTGACTGGTGGCAGAGAGCTGAAATCATGACACTCTGTGCTCTTTTAGAGCGTTTAAAGTTTAAAAACATTGTTTAGAAAACCGCAAGAGTTTGGAAGTGTTCAAAATGCCTTAAAAAAAAATATATATATATATACACATATATATAATATATACATAAATACTAAAATAAACTACTACTATATTTTCTGCCATACATGTCGCACCGCCCTATAAGTCGCATCAGTCCAAATAGTCTAAAACCGTGGAAAAATCCATAAATACATTGCTTCGCCGTATACATGGCATCTATTACGCATCACTGCTGACAACCTGGAAATGTGGGCTGGTGTTGTGCCAAAAATCGATGGGCTGCCAAATGGCGGCTGCAGGAGCGTGCACGGGAGGACTTTAACAAGAATTTAACAAGATTAACAGTTAATGTGAGTGGAAATATCAACAGGGATATTTTTGGTTTTGAACCAGTTTGACACGACTGTCAACGAGGAAGAGGGCCAGCACAAGAGGAGGGGGCGTGCCAAAGACACCATCTTAGCACCAACATACAGTAACTGGTTTGTTCCACTTTGAAGTAAGCTGCTTGGGGGAAGAATCGGTTTTGTGTTGTGTGTTTCCTTGACTGATGAAGCCTTCCGGATGGAAGGTGAAACGTTTCAGCACAAAAAAGAAACTGTCCAGATGACCTGACTGAAAATTGTTGGAAGATTAACTATTAAAAACAATTTGTTTGCTCGAAATTATAGCAAAGGTGTGTCTCAGTTGAACTTTTACTTAATAAATGCACTTTAATGATCAAATTAGCTGCACTTTGCCGGGGTGGGGCAGCTAGTTTGACGGTTGCTCTAAGCAGCGAACAGAACGAAGGTGTCAGGCTATGGCAGGCCGATTGTGTCATTAACAGCTGGTAAAGATGCTCAGTCATCCAGGACATGGTAAATAAAAAAAAAAGTGCAAGACAAAAACAATAAAGTAAAGTATAATAAAAAAAGTCCCGTTGTTTTTGTATTGAACTTTTTTGAATTTGTCATTATAGCCACTTATACCTATTACTTGATACAACGGCATGCCATACTAATACTACTCTGCTTCCATCTAGTGGCTGAAAATGATACTGTTCTTTTTTTTTCAGTCAGAATGAATGAAAACGGTCATATCTCAGACAAAAATTGTTTTATAAATATGTGGAAAATCCATAAATACGTCGCTTCGGCCTATAAGTCGCAGGGTGTGCAAATTATGCAAAAAAACGCGACTTATAGGGCAGAAAGTACGGTACTTACTACTTATACTACTATTCCCGTGGTTTCTCACTTATCGCGGGGCTTCAGGGTACGAAACGAGGGACTACTGTATCTGGAAAACTACTGCAGTGAAAGCTTTCAAACCATATTATGTGATATGATTCAGGTCAACATTTTTCTGTTCGACTTTTATAGTTTGCAATAAAAAGCCTTTAAATTTGGGAAATAAGCTGCATTGCCAAAGTAATTGTTGTTGTCAGCTAATTATTTATAATGTTAAATAAATTTAACCAATCACATCTGATTGTGCTGACTACCATGGGACAACATCTAAAATTTTCAGCTACTATTTAGACTTGCTGGGGACCAGTACTTCCCTTTAAACAGTACTTCTCTTTTAACTTTATTCATTTACATACATTAATGTTTTAATCACGAGCAGGGATCTTCGTGGGAGACTTCCTACGAGTAAAAATCTTTTCAAAATTAGGGACAAGTCTGTGGTGTAATGTCCTAGTATCATCCCCTGGAACAGCACATGTTCATATTTATCGTTCTTCAAATGAATCTCACCAAACAGCAACACTTGGGAACCGCTGGCCTCCTTTACACCGGCCAGAAGTGACCCACTAAGCAGCGTGAGTGGCAGAGTGAGGCCGCCATGTTGTCAGAGCAGAACAAATGAAGCTGGAACAGCAGGGATCACATCCTGCTGCACTTTTCAACCATGAAACCAGCACCAAAGTCAAGGCTGCGTCACAGGGTTGTACCTTGAGGTTTCTGAGCGGTTGGTGGTCTGGATGAGGCGGAGGGCGGGGGCCGCGGTTTGATGGCGGGCTTGTCGTGACATGGTCTGGCGGGCGGACCTTTCTTCACCAGCCGTGGGGTGCACCGGTTGTCCGAGGATCCACACGGGTACTTCACAGAGGAGGCAGGCAGGTCTGTGGACGAGAAGAATCCAAACATCAGAAATGAACACGTTTCACGTAAATGTTATATCAGATCAATTTATCCAGAACAACTCTTGTGGCGAAGCAGTGAGAGGATCTGGTGATGCTGAGTGACCTTGTGAAGAGACGCTGTGCAACATAAGCCATGCAGAGGAGGCCTGTTGGTTTCAGTGGCCTGCATCCACCTGAGTACATCTGCTCTGCTCGGAGGATTGTCTTGAAATAGATTGTGTGTGAATAAAGTCTGAAAATATCAAATGCAGAGCTGTGTCCTTTTTCAGTTTCTTTTTTTTTTTACTCTGTTAAATAAAAAAAGCTGGTATGTTAACATGTTTCCTAAATAAAAGTGAAAGTATTCTGAATGGATGAAAGACACAGTCTGTTTTTACCGTATTCAGATATGGGTTTGATGCGCAGATATTGTTCCCTGCTCGTCTAATGTTTCTGACTAAAAGTATTTTTGCGAACAAAGTTTCTGTGGACACGATAAACCGTCTCCAGCAGCCCAGTGGTTTAGACACAACAGAACTGAATGCTCCACTAAACGGAGTTTCTTATCAGGGTCACTCTCTACTTCTTGCATCCGATATCCAGAACAACTTGAAGTGACAAACTGGGACAAAAAAAAAAAGAAGATGTGTAGCAGAATTTAAAGCCTGTGAATATAGGTTACTTTTTCAGAGAGCAGAGATTCAGATGTTCTTCACATTCCTGCACACACAATGGTTCAGCCGAGGGTTTTCAACATGCTGATGGCAGAAATGTGCTCTCTTACTCTCACTGTTGAGTTTTTCAGACAGAAACACAAGTAGATATTTTACACTTGTTTTTGTTTATTATAACTGGCTGTGCGTAGTGGAAATAAAAACTGGTTAATCTGTGGTTACTAACCACTCATATAGAGAAACGTTTTAATGCCACAACTAAAACGAAGCAGTTTGAGCAGACTGCACTAAGGCTGCACAGAAAAGCAAACATTTATTACAGTAACACTGAGTGCAATATTGCAAAGAACTGCATCACAGTAGTCCCTCGCTACTTCATCTTCGACTTTCGCAGACTCACTCTTTCGTGGTTTTTCAACAATTGTCAACTTTAACATTACTCATGTGAACAGGACCATACAGATAAAAAGTTAATAAAAAATATATATACGGACAGGCACCGTCATTTTCTAGTTTTCTTTCAATAAAACTACACTGTATGCAAAAGCCAGTCCAAAAGAACTAGATTACCCAGAAGCCAACAGTGCTTCCAGCAGCTGCTTTCTGCTGAAATGGAGGGAAAGTTTTGGTCCGATCCGAACTTGACTAAAAAGTTCAGTCCTTATTCATAGTGACTTTGGCTCTCAGTGGATGCAGAGAACTGGACCAGAACTGGACCAGAACTACTTCCAGCCTCATTGGTCTATCTGAGCGCTGTTTGCTCGCCCATGAAGCCTCTCGAGCGGGGAGGTGTTGCTTGGAGGTCCGGTGTCTTCTCCAGAGCTCACCCAGACTTTTTTCATCCGTATTTGGACTTGATCAGGACCACTGTGTGGTTTTGTGGTGGCTCTTCGAAGGTCCGGCTCTTCCCAAAAATGTGTGGTGCTCAAGGGCTGCAGAGAGCTGACCAGAACCGGACCAACGCTGGTGAGTACCCATATAAAATTCTGCAGTAGCTGCATGTACAGTAATGTATGTATGTTGTTAAAATGACGTAGGTTTAAGAGTTTAGAACATTGCAAGAGTGTGGGAAGGATTTATAAAGCCTTAAAATATACATAAATACTATAATAAATATAGTGTTACTATTTTGCGGTTTTTCACTTATTGCGGGGTGTCCGGAACGTAACCCCCACGATAACCGAGGGACTACTGTAATTTGTTTTATATCTTTCGTCTGCTCCTTTCTTCAGGGGTCACCACACCGAGCTAACTCACATGAGGATTTGGTGATTGTTTTGACGCAGGATGCTCTTCCTGACGTAACCACTGATTAACGAGCTACCACAGCCCTCTGTGTGGAGCAGAGGGATGCCATCCATGGCACCTGGGGAACAGCTGGGGGGTTAAGGCCTTGCTCAAAGGCAGAGGGTGGCAAATGAGGGGGGAGGCACCCACATTTTTATTGTCTGTCTGATGATTCAAACCAGTGACCTTCTGGTAACAAGCTCACAAGCTTCTCTATCCTCTGCTCCTCCTAATGAACTGCAATAAATAAAAGCCATTATAGTGGAAGCACCATGCATTCATGCACTGCTGCTATTTATATACTCGGTCAGTCCAACAGACTCTCCTGGCCTTGACCCACCCCTGGTTTGGATGACAGAGGAGAAAGTAAAGTGTGAGGGCGAAAGGGGGTTTATTGCAGCTAATATCGTCGCCACGATATCCAACAATAATACTGCACATGGCATGTTCTAATATGATAAAGTCCTAACCGCAAACCTGAGTGCTAAAGCTTAAAAAAGAGAAAATGTCAAATGTCTTTTTGTGACAGTAGTTCACCATTACCAAAAGCTAAATAGGTATTTTAAAAATTAATTCATTGTTTTGGCCACAGACTGAATGCAGCTCTATTAGTTCCATCTTGAGTCAAAGTAAAAGGAACAATTCAGCTTAATGATGTGTTTTTAACAACAGAAGGGTTGAGATTTTATGTCTTGCTTTGGGAGGATGAAGAGAAAAAAGACTGCATGTTCCTAGATTCATCACAAACCAAGTTTTTTCCACACGGCTTTAATAATTACTGTGCACCTATAAGTTAATGTTTTAAATGTTACAGGAAAATAAGACAGATTTCCAAGATATATTTGTCCTACGACTGAAGTTGCCTAAACGGTTCACCTTAACAGAGTCACACTAACTCTATCCCAACTCAATTACAAACCAGAGTGTTCTCGTGTGTCCCGGCACATCTAATTCAGTGTTTTTATACATGCTCCAGGCAGTGGAAAGAGAAAACTCAGTCAGTAATGAGACTTATTTTACTATAATCTCCATGTGGTGAACTGTGGGATTTCCCAAATCTCTGCACCACAGTGGAAGATTAAAAAAACTCGTCTGGCTCTCTGGAATACAAATACTGTACGAGGAAAAATGTTGTCCACGCCGAGGCTCCAAGATCAGAAAGTCGTGCAGCCTTAATCAGATGACTCAGGGACGAGGCAGGCCAGAAGAACAGCTCGACCTATGATCATGAGAACAGACAAATTACTGGCTAGTGAAGAACCCTTTGACCCAAGACTGGCCCTGGTCTCTTCTGGGAAAAACAAACAGCAGAGGAAGACGGAGAGTTGTTACCTATGGAAACACAGTGTAGCCATGGTTACCTGAGACCGCAGCCTGGCCCTCGAGTCAAGCTGCTCCACACCAAACAGGAACTTGACGACACAGCGAGGAGAAAACAACTGATACCCAAGCCTTAAAAATGTCTAACAAAGCACTGCTTCCATATCGAAAACGTTCAAACAGCTCAGGGTGTGGTTTGTTAAAAAGGAACGAGTGTTTTGAAGAAAATTACCTTTCCTCCGATCCTTCAGTGTCAAATATCCAAAGTCCAAAGAACGAGCAAAGGGAAACCTCTGCCACACAACTCAGTTTCACAATGAATCCTGCCCTCCCAGTTTTTCCAAGACTATAGTCTGTGGCACACAAACAAACGCACACGCCCTCCCTCGAAAGTCCTTCAAAGCTCAGTCCTGCATTATGCTCAAACACGCACATCCACCTCCCCGTTCCCAGCTGTGTTCTTGAAACTGCACCTGTCGGCTCACCGGCAAAACTTGATCCAAGTACTTCCTCCTGGGGCCCGGGTGGCGACACCGCAAGGCCCGGTAAAACTCACACAGCCTAACAACCGGCCCATTCAGAGGTGAACTTTGCCCGTGACTCAACGGCTCGCAGGACGCCTGAAGACCTGACCGTGTGTTTGAAGTTCTGAGGCGGTCGAGTGAATTATTTGGACTTCAAGTGATCTGAGGGATGACCGCACGGAAACTGAGCAACACTCGGTCAGTCCCTCTGTTCACGTCCAGGTAGACAGACAGATGAACGCAACAAATAAACACAAATATACCTGAACAGTCTCACCTCAACGCATCATGGCTGTTACCATGACAACTCTCCTCTGCAGAGTCAGCTGTTTTTCAAGTAACAAAAAGTCTTATTTTATGTCTTCACCAAAGGCCGTTATGTGACAGCACACCGAGAGCTGGGCAAATATTTTGAAGGGTAACCTGAAATACCACATTACAGTGAGTGGTAGAAGTATCCAGATACTTTAAAGGTATTTCAGTGACTGACATCCTCTGGGAGCTCTACTTGTGTAATGCTGACAAAAACTAAAGAATGAAGGTCTCATGTTAGTAACTGACAAAGAAAAACAAAGGTCTGAGTAGGTTTATTATCGCTCGCAGCCACGAAAGGTCAGCAATCATGCATGTGTGTTCATTTGCATGTCTGTTAACAAAATATCTCATGAACCACTGGACGGATTCGAATAAAACCTTTGTAAAGTAATCATTGGATAAAATATTTACAATTGGTTATTATTATTATTGATTTTTGGAGTCGACCCAATCTAAAATGGCTACCACAGCCAATCAAGTTTAACAAACACATGAATGGTTATAACTCAGTTTTACTCTCTCTGTTTTTTCTGAGCGAGGAAATCAGGAAGGAGGAATGCTGTGCATTTCTTCAAAATTTAACAAGCACCTAAAACAATTATTTGTTTTCTCGACATTATAGTAAAGGTGTGTCTCAGTTGAACTTTTACTTAATAAATGCACTTCAATGGTCAAATCAGCTGCATTTTTCCGGGGAGACGCAGCAAAATTAAGCTGATTTAACGGTTGCTCCAGGTGAGCTGGATGAAGGTGGCAGGTATGGCAAGCCAATTGTGTCATTAATAGCCACTTTTACCTTTTACATGATACAACAGCATGCCATACTACTCAAGTGCCATCTAGCAGCTGGAAATGGTAGTGTTCAATATTTTCAGTCAGA